CAATGAGGTGAACAATGTTTACCGGTCGGTCGATGCTTTGTCACCCGAACAAAATGAAGTCGTACTGAATCTTTACAGGTAATATCAATTGTGCGATATGTTTGGTTTTATTCTAATCGTTCAGAGATTGACTAAATTGCATCGATTTTCACAGCGAATGGCTTGAAGGACAAGATTCATCAAAATGCAAAGAAAAGCTTCGTACTCAATATCACGCCGTGGAGGAATCTCTTGTCAATCCATTGAGCGTTAAATGGTGAATTAGTATAATTTGCGAAAACACGATGCTTGGGCATAATGGAGTATTCTTGGTTGTGAAATAATAATAATAATAATAATAATAATAATAATTTCCATATTATGATTATTTATGATTTTACGCGTAATAGCATTCCTCTGTATACGTGAGGGCATCAATTGATCATGGATCCGCATGCCCCGTGAAAAGTCTGATAAATTCGAGATTAAAGAAACTTTGGCGTAATCCGTCAGAAAAGTTCATACATACTTCTGCCGGACAGTCGTGTCCGACAATTGAATTGAATCTAATTATCATCATTCTAGCTGGCATACAATCAGAAATGGAGAATTTGGCTTATTGTTTGACTTATTATTTTTAACTTATGCATTATCTTCATTATCTCTCCACAATTTCTAAAATCGCTGCTATTATTGATCAATTCATAAGCACGACATTGTTCAATCTGAAAAAAAAAATGATAGCAAAGATACGACAGTCATTTTTAATCTGAACGGTATTGTGCCAGTTTTTCTTTTTATAAAAAATAAAAAAATTGACAGCATTGAACCCGTGTTGTCAAATTATTACATCCTAAAGGCGTGACCCATTGTACACACTAATTTTGTATGACCTTTCATCTTTCCTAAAATCATGACTTCGTCGGTGTCACATCTTTTATATTTTCAATGATTAATGAATTGACGACTTAAATTCATTACCGATAGTGGAAAACTGAAAGAGAATAAGAAACGATTGTTTGTTTGATGAGTTACATGTTCGAAGACCACGCGCGTTCAAATTTTCTTTGTCCTTTAGCGACTGCAAGCTGCGTATGTAATCCCATATAATCGAGGCATGTGATGCAATGTCAAATCTTTATTATGCATCGCACTTGCAGCGTTTCTTCATTGGAAACAATTTTCCGTGTCGAATTTGCTTGACACGGTAACCCAAAGATGCCACAGGTATATGACCATGACCCTGTAAAAATTGAATGTGTGTACATACAGACCATCCGCTTTACGATTCCTTTATTTGAACATCGTTACACTCGCGAATTACACGGCAAGGTAATTTTAGTAGTTCATTTGTCTCGCAACAGACAGAGTCAGACATTTTACACTTTACGTGTAGCGTTCCTAGAGTCACTTTTCAGATCATTAGTCTCGAGGAATTTAGGTAATCACTGGATTAGGAAGGCGAATGATCTGATCCCTGAGAACATTTGAAAATTCTTTGTTTGCCATTCGAACCTCAAGAAGAAATTAATTATGATATCTCTTTTTTCCACAACTGATAACGTAACTATTTGTTTGTACAATCATATGATCTGGAATGAATTCATTTTTTTTTTTATAAAGATACAATTTGACTAATGTGGAAAGAAAATTCGGGAAACTTGCATGCATATATTTATAAAAAAAAAAAAGAAAACCCTATAACAAAAAAAGCTTATCCTGTGTAATCTTTGAAGAGAAGTCTACCAAAGAAAAAAACGAGGGTACATTTCCGAGGATAGGCGTTTGAAAACTTAATTTGTCAATTTATCAAAGAAAAAGAACGATTTTTACCATATATATATCTCTGTTTTTAGTCACGGTATACGTTGAGTAACCATTGCACAACTCAGCTGCGCCCTCCGATACGAGTAAAAATGCAGATATCTTCCGACCTATCATCATACATCATTATCGTCATCCTAATAAATACAAAAAAAAAAAAAAAATCAACACTAACAATGGTATCCAATCACTCACCTATCACGCGCTGTTACACTAATAACAGAGTCTTTTTAGTTTGTGTTTTGTGTCTTTATTTTTTTTTGACATTTCTAAGGCCTTTCGGAAGTGTGTAGCACAGTCCCGGATTCTCCCACATCATCTATTATATCATGGGCAATTCCAGCGATACATTTAAATAGAACTTTTTTTTAATCTGACCAATTCTGGAAACAAAAATATTTGGGCACAATTACAGATGACTAATGACTATTATCGAAGATTAGGGCCTTGAAAGTTATGATCCAAAATTATTAAGTATAACAATTGCCGGGGCAATCATTAATATCGATAACCATTAATGATGGCAATGATAACGATGCCCAATGTTAACAGATCTCACAGATAAGTCGGTATTATCCTTATGTTCGCTTCGATGATTTTAATATCAATTTGAAAATTTGAAAATTTACAGAATGTGTGAACTAGGCCTCCAGTCAAAACCAAGTGATCGCATCAAATTACATGATTCCATTCTTTCTAGAAATTTTACACATATTCATTCAATTGGAGGAAAGATGAATCATAATCTAATAATATTTTTTTATATAGCGTTATATAATTTATATAATTTATTGCTTAAGCAAAAAATTTTTTTCATTTAGGAATAATTATTTCTAATTAAAATATGTGGGTTGCAAGCATGCAAGCATTAAAGCATTATATCAAATAAAAAAATTTTTTTTTGCATTTTACTGTAATAATCCTCGGCACCGACACAATAGTCTTTTATATGTATATATTATGTAAGTGTTATATTTTAATTTATATTGTCACTTTAAAGCCACGCCAAATGAAATTTCGTACCACCGAGACTATCATTCTTGATCATACGTATTTGGCTACATTCAGAGCGTCATAACCAAGGAAATGACAATTATAAAATCTGCTCCCTTTCTTTTTTTTTTTTAAAGCAAGAAATGTTCCCACTACGCCTACGTCACACATCCTATGCGGCCTAATTTCTACTTATTTCATCTAAATACGCAGTTTCTTTATTCTTTTGCAAGGTGCGGGCGCATTGACAATCTTAATAAATATCTTTGCGACCTTTGACCTTTGACAAGATTACTTTGTGACAAACGAGCATTTGGTCAGATTTAAACAAAAACAAAATATATTTATGGCATTCGATGGTTCCCCAGTTAGTCAACTAAGCGCTGGACCCATCCATCCCATCAAGTACCGTACGGGAAGGTTCACCCCGGAAGAAGACCGAAGGCTTATAGATTTATATAACCAACATGTGGAAAGTCACAAGCATAACATCTTCGCCGTAATAGAGCCGTTGATGCACAGAAATTCAAAGTCTTTGAGAGAAAGGTTCTGTAATCACTTGGCTCCTGATATCGACCATTCCGAGTTAGATGATGCTGAAAAAACGTTCATTGACGAAGAACAAGAAAAATGTCAGACCTCCTCGACGCCATTTTCGGAAATCGCGAGGAGTCTAAGCGAAAGGAACAAAAAATTGTACAAGGGAAATAGGAACGTCTATCGTCGCACTGATTTGGTGGTTAGAAATTATCTCGCACCAAGGATTCGTAAAAAGAGAGAGAGCGCCGAAAGAATCCGTAGAGCTATGCTAATTAGTAGCCTACTCGACGGAAGTCCGAATTAATTGCCTTAGAAGGTTTAATTTTGCGTTAGTGGATATTTGTATATATAGTCATGTAAATAATAAATAGAATGATTATCTTTTCTATTGATATGCATATATTTATAATATAATTAAATATTTTATTTATTTCTCTGTATTTTTATATCTATCTTTTCTACATTATGTATCCCATTCATTATATTCTTTTTTTCTATCATAATATTTACGCCTCAGGAATCATAGAACGAAATTCTTGAGATGCTTGTCTTCTCTAAAGATCAAGTAACGTCATTTCCACATGTATTGCCCTTTCTTAAGATCTCATTACAGTTGAATTTATGTAATTGGTCTTTCAATAATAGAGGCGCTTGTCCCTCCACTCGTTTACTACTTGTCATACGACTCTCACGGTTATCTTTTTTTTCTTTGATCACTTTTATTTTCTATTCTTAGGAAGTTCCCGCTTTCAAAGTTTTTTTTTCAGGTCAATAAATAAAAGCTCTTGTCAATGAATGAAATTCCAATTTAAATATGAAACTTTGAATGATTGCTATTTTTATCTAATGCAATGTGATGTTAATTGCGAATCCCCCGTGACATATAATTATAGATAATCAAAACTTGTAATAAACGGAAACATACAAACAAATAAATCTATAAATCTATACATATTAGATCACAGTAATTTCATTCAAAGAATATCAGTTCGATAGAGTAAATCAACAAACATCCTCGCAAAGGACCGACCAACATTATTCCGTTTATTTTGAATATAAAAAACTTCAAGATTATACAGTGTATGCATTATCATCGATCCTGATTGTATTGCTTACTGATAATTTTCTATTGTTTTTTTGGAAATTAAACAAAATAGAATAAAAAATCTTCACGGTTACCGGTATGGCACCATCATTCTTTCATAATAATAGATTTCAAGTATCTTCTGTACATGATTATTGATAATTATACAAACAGGTTAATTATAACAAAATATACTGTAATACTACAAGTTGTCGTTATTAGAAAAAAAAGAAAAAAAGAATCTCGAATCAAATCTTTACCATATTTCACTCAAGCTCAAGGCTTTCTGTACCACTCATGGTTTGTTCGATAGAGGTGCATGCTGTGTATAGAACTTCTTATCTAATCTAAAAAGATCATAAATCTTTTTTTTTTATATATATTTTCACGAAGAAAAATAATAATCATATATACAGTATATATCGCATTTTTTTTAAAAAGAAAATATTGTTTACAAAGAAAAGATAATAAATTTATATATATCGCAATTTTTTACAATTAATGACTTGATTATCGAAATTTCGAAAATAATATACAGTACATAGATTTTTCATAATCAAGCGTGTAATGTTTATTAAATCTTTTGGAAAAACAAATAACATCCAATAATAAAAATATATGTCAAAAGTTTTATTGGTTTGATTTCATTCATTAATAGAGATGTTAAAAGTCCCAACTTGGTTCGGTTTGGCTCCAGAAGTCAAGTTTTTAACAAATTCGACTCTGGGTTACATGATAACAATAATTTTCTTAAACTATTTATTCTAAAATCAAAATTTCTGCTTTTAATCAATTTATAAAGCTTTTTTTATTTCTTAAAAAAACAATTTTTTGTAGTGTCAATAGTATTCTTTGTTATAAAAAAATTATATTTACAAAAAATATTTGTAACTTGTAAAGCACAATAATTTATTGTTATAAAAGCTACAATTAAAAAATGAAAAATATTGTTTTTCTACAACAACAATAAATTGATATCTAATTCAAAAATAAAAAAAATAATTAATCAGTTTATTTCTTGTTTTACATTTCTTATTTTTATCTAATTGTATTAGTCTTTAAAAAATTTCTAATAAATCTTATTTAAGAATTATAATTTTATTATTATTCTAATATAAAACTTTTAATAAATTAAGTCAAGTCAACTTTAAAACTTTTTTCAATGATTTTTTATATAGTAGATTATATATTAACCAAATT